CTTGTTGTCTGCCTCTTGTACTCTTGTCTTGTTGTCTGCCTCTTGTCTTGTTGTCTGCCTCTTGCACTCTTGTCTTGTTGTCTGCCTCTTGCACTCTTATCTTCGACATTTCCTCCAATCACAAAAGTAAAGTAAAGGACCCTTTTCAACGCCTTTAGGCATATAGGGCTAGACCTATATTTCAAAGACCAGTTGGCACAAGATTGGTGATGTGGTTACCATCGCGCTGGCCGCCTTTACTTCCCAGGACTGCACCCGGTACCCACTCAAGGCTGGGTCGACCTGGGAGCCAAGGTCATTTTTTTTTTAAACGTCCGGTTCCTCCAGAGAGCGAACCCACGACCTTCCAATCCAAGGCGAGCTGCTCTGCCACGGCGACTCCCTTTTCCTCCAGAATGGTTTAAAAAAAAAATATTATGACTTTTAATGTGGCCATAATATTTTAGTTGTCTCTTTTTTTAAATTTTGTATAATTCCTTAACTCCCTTTGTTCGCAGTCTCTGCAAAATCTTTGCATTTAATTGTTTTTGTTTCCATAAAATACGACCTGTTCTGTATATCCACATCTCCAGAGACTCAGTTTGATTTTCAAATAGCATGTGCATTATCTAAGTTTCAGCAGCAGAATTGAATATACATAAAATGTGAAGGTTCTCATTTTATTTTAATGTTGTTTTGTTTTCTCTTGCTGTCAGTAACTTTTGCATCTTATTGAAGACGGTTTTAACCGTTCCTCTTCTTTTTTTGACTTCTGTACATGCCTACCCTGGCTCTTTAAAGATAGTAAAGGCTGAGGTTGATTTTGTATGATTTTAATAATTCTCCACTTTAAGAGGAAGGGTTTGACCATTTAACTTTCGAGTCTACAGGAATGTATGAGAGCCACTGACTTTCTGCAGCTCCTCCACAGAGCAATGTAACCTCTTCATCCTTTTTTTCCCCACAGCAAATGAAACGCAAGCTGGAGGATGTAGCTAGAAAATTAGAGATCTTATATGACCGCCTGAGGGAGAACCATGTATGTACAAGTTGTGGTGCATTGTTTTTATGAGAGTTTTATCTTCTGATTTATGTGTTTAATTCTGTTTATCATCCTCGTTATAAACAAATTAATTGTTCTTATTCTACTTGAGAATCTGGGATGTAAATCATCTTGCATTGTATTTATATTTGTCTTCTGGTTTTCTTGTTTCCTTCCGTTCATCATTTTCCTTATAAGACAAATTGTGCCTCGCTTCTTCTAGGTGAGAGAGAATCTTGTATGTACAACTCATGATACGTTGTTCTTAGTCTTTTTCCTTCGGTTTTACTTGTTCCATATCTGTCATCATCATTGTTTTCTTCTTCTTCTTCTTCTTTTTATCCTTTTACCAGGAAGCGCAGATTCACTACCATATCTTTTTGTTTACACAAATCTGGACTGTAAACCGAAAGACATGGTAGTGAACCTTATATTCATTTGTTACTATAGTAATACACCTGATGAGATACCAGGCATTCTGTGGTTGTCTTCTTTGTTCAGATTCACATTGGGGAAACATTGCTTTGATAATTCTGATAGGTCTAGCCACATATAATGAGTGCAGTCTTGGTGTTAGACAACCCAGTTGTTTTCTGACTTAGTAAACAGGAAGCAGAATGTAAACAGGAAAGAGAACTCTACACTTACTTAGAAACAGAGGAACAGTCCATACAACAACATGGCCCTGATAAATACAAGTCCTTTTTCAGATCTGAGATAATCTGAATGCATTACAAGCTCAGTCTCCAAGAAGATTCACCAACTAACCTTTATTCCTAACATAATTTCCTTTGTTCATTAGTATCAATTCGGATATTTTTCCAAACCATGATGACAGGCGGTCAAAAATCTCTACTTGTGTCTTCCGTTATTTATCTCTTTGTCATTTATCTTTCTAATTGTTACAATATGTTCCATGTTCCAGTTTTGTTTTTTTCCCACAATATTTCTAACAGTGAGAAAATGGAAAATGCAGTGATGCGGACGTGTAATAAGATCTACTGGCTTCTCCTAAATAGTTCTGCAGGGCTCAGTAGAGAGAAGGAGAGGAAGAGGCAGACCAAGAAAAAACATGGATATCGAACCTGGCTGACGGGGCAGACCTGAATGTGCAAAGTCCATTGCCTCTGACCAACAGTGCTGAAGGTAACTGATCAGGCAGTCAGTAACCCAAAGGCACATGGTTTTTTGCTATGAAAATTAAATGTCTAAAAAGGCCACCTAAAGATATCATAAATTATTAGCATGCAGAGATGGAGATAATAAAGAAATATTCATTTCTCTCACCAGCTGTCCCCGAGTGTACTTCAAGGCTTGCATCAGATCGTCCAGGCCATACAGCAGTATGACTACAACTCTGGCCTGACCACCTACACTGCCATGGTGTCTCATAGCAACTTCTCGGAGATCTCCAACTTCATGCCGTCTATCAAGGTTCTTATGCAGTCAGCTGCTCAGATGCAGGTGTATCTGCAGTGAGCATGGCTAGAATTAGATCAGTTGGATTCAGTAATAAGTTATTTCTATGTTGTAAATATTCAGCCTGTTGCAATAGTTCATCTCAGGCTTGAGTACAGTCAGTGATTTTCAAACTCTTATACAGACCCTTTCCCTTTATTTTTTAAATTATTCTCTTTAAAGTCACAACTTCAAATAGTAATTTAAAACTATTTTGGGACGATTTCTTTATTGGTCCTTTTCTACCTTACCTCAACATTACTGGTAGTTAGGCCTCAACCTCCTGCCTTGTTGAGGTCATCACCATCAATTCTCACTCAAGTCATATTAAGAAAAATTATAGTAGAATTGTCATTTAAATACGGCATGTATCTGCCCCATTTGACTGAAGATGAGGAAAAGTGTTTAATTTTTTTTTACTTATCAAACACGGTAGACAGAACCCAAAAGGGCTAATAGCTTTGACAGTTTAAGAATCACTGATGTAGAGTCTTGTTAATGAGAATGTCGAAACCGCCTGTCAGCTGCACCTCTCCGAAGGTTGAATTTGAAATATCATTCAAATACGGTGAATTATTTACAGGAAGAGTGACAATATACTAGTGTCTCCTGAGCGATGTATTTGTTGGTCTTGTTACTGTTGTAGTATCAAGTTGGGCATATTGTATCACAGATAAGCAAGGATAGCATTACTGAGGTGCATGACATATTTATGATGATAGTGTGTGTGTGTGTGATTTATTAATCCGATTGTTGTTGTATCATGTCTATCATATTGTGTTGCGCAGGAAAGTAAGCAGAAAGTGTATTACTGAGTGGCGTGTTTATGATGATGGTGTATCTGTGTGATTTATTGATCAGACTGTTTTCATCAATCATTGTTCTAGTATGTCAATTGTATCTCAGATTTGCAAGTATAAAGAGTGTTACTGAGTGGCTGACATGTTCATGATGATGGTGTATCTGTGTGATTTATTGATCAGACTGTTCCATCAATTGTTGTGTGTCAGTCAATTGGATGCTTTTGTATAAGTCATCCCAAACAGACAGTCTAATATTTCAGGGGGTGGTAGATAGGCTGCATGCAGTCGTTGGACCTAGGCTGCACTTTCTCATGGGACGTAGGTGGGGTGGGATTAGGTTCAGTTCTAGATGTTTTAGTTAAAAGCACCACAAAGCTGGAGAACTCAGTCTTACCACCCTAAAAAAATATTCAACTGTCCCCCATGACGTCATCTGGAGTGACTTATTACAAAAGAACTGTCAATGATATCACAGATAAGCAAGTATAAAGAGTATGCTGAGTGGCTATCACTTTTATGATGATTGTTTGCCAAGAAAGGAAGTTACATTTAGTAGCAGTATTTGGGTAGTGTCATATCTCAGTAGTGTCATATGTTCAGCGTGTCAAAGTTTCCAGTAATCTTTACAATGTGAGGGGTGTAGCGGCTGAAAACTCGCCTGCGAATCCAAAGGTAGTGGGTTTAAATACGAATGGAGCCAGACTTTTTTGTTTAAAATGACTTTAGCTCACGACTTGATTCAACCTCAAATAGGTACCAGGAACAGTCATGGGAGGTAAAGGTGGTCGACATGATGCTGACCACATCACCCACCTAGTGTCGATTGATCTATACAATTTAGATCTAGCCATATATGCATGAAGCTCGACCCAGCCTAAAATGGGTACCAGGATGGCTGTCCTGGGAAAGTAAAGATGGCCGGCGTAATGCTGACCACATTACCCATTCAGTATCGATTGGTCTGTAAAAATATGGGACGCTCTGCCCATATACCCGATTCGCCTAAGGCGTAATAAGGGATCTTTACTTTTTTTTTTACTTTATATATGCATAAAGGTGTGGGAAAGCGCCTGTTCGTGGTGTAAGAAGTTACAAAACCACAAACTAACCAGTAGCACATAGTCATTGTAAATAGTGAATTTATCGAATTTCTTCAGGTATGTCATAATGTATAACTTTGTTTTCTTAGGAACTCGCAGTGGCTTGATCACCTCTCCGCTTATGAAAACTTTTACCATTCATTCATTCTTTCATAATCCCTGAAATTCTGCTGCTTGGTGTTTCCTGCTGGTTCTATATTCAAAATGTTATAAGTTTGTTTCTTGTCCTATTTAGGACACTACATACGAATCCCAGCATTTCTGGGTTTTTTCTGATTTTACTTTCATTACTTTGCCATTGATGGGGGTTTTTGTTTTTTTTATGGTACAAAGCTGATCCAACTCTCTAAATCGGTATAAAGCACTTCGCTGTTAAATCACCTACAGCTGATGTTCTCTTGCCAATTCTCCAGCCTTATGTGTTTTCATAGGCAGTGCATCTTCAATGTCTTGTATCCACATTTTCTGAGGTCTCTCTGCATCATTGTCCAGAAACTATCCTCCATCATTCTCTCCAGGTCATCGTGATGTTTAACTTGCCCAACATACCTCAGCTTTTTAGGCAGGATGCTGTTTCTGAGAACGCTGATTGGTTTATGAAAAATATGAGTTTGGCATCATAATGGCAAAACAGGGCTTCTTCACTTTACGGTCTGTTGCCACAATAAAGGGTGGCTGCAATAAGTCTCCATCACTTCCGCGCTCTCTTTGGTTGTACACTGTGACAGGATGCTATCTTGATATTCTCGTACTTGTATCTTTGTCTGCCTCCTGCTCACCTGTGTTTAATTTCTACAACCAGGAATTTTCTTTACAAGAATGTCTTTTAATGTGGTAACTGGCCTGTGTTCCATGACACCAATCAGCTCCCTATTTTCAGTTTGTCTAAAATTATCAAGTTCAGACTTTGATTCAGTGTCTTCATTATAGTTATACTGACACAAAAACATTGAAGTCTGATTCAATGTTTCCGAGATCGTCAATGTTTTTAATGCGATAACTTCTTTACTAGCATCCAGATGTCAGGAAGAAATTTTGAGACACTCTGTATAATCTGATGAGGATTTGTATTAGACCTCTTGGAAATTCTTTCAGTTTCAGGATGATGCCCAAATTCTTTGAATATCTTATGTCACCCAACTGCTAGGACTGCAGATTACGCTGGGTGTCTGGTGATCCAGTATAACTGTTTTATGAGTCATGCTGAAATTATTAATGCTCTCCAAAAATGTTAGAAGCTGAGATCGGCATAGCAGAAAAATAGACGCATACCAGGCACATTAGAGGACTTGTTAATCAACATAGGACTGGTATTATTAGCCACCATGTGCTGGAGTTCATACTAAGGGAAGGGTCTTTGCACCTATGGACATGTCCGGAATGCAAGGATGATAACTCCACTAACTAATTGTTATAGACTGTTGTACAAGGAGTCTGGGATTTTCTACTGTTGGATCCACATTCTTGTTCACAAGAGACCCATCACAAAAATAGGTCTTTAAACTTTAAACTATATTATAATCTGTTGTCTGCTAACAGAAAGGCAATCTGGCATATGCAAACCTCAGGACAAAGCAAGACACTAGGATGTATGGCCTGCTCACTAGCTTTCTACACTGCTGCCAGACTCCTGATATACATTTTCTGACAGAAGAATGGATGAAGAAGACATTCAAAGTGGGGCTGTTTAAGTCTGTGGGTGTCAGTCTTTCGCATTGTAATGCCAGAAGCTGATGGTTTTGTTTTTGAATTTTTTTTATGTTTTTGTTTTTTTAATTATACCTAAGTGAAGAAAAAAAAAACATTGTTAAAAAGAGTTATAACATGAATTTCATAGAGATGGTGAGAGGCGGAAAGGAATGTTGGGGAGGCCAAATTTTTTTTAAATGCTCTAACCAAATCTAAAGATTAATGGAACACACATTATGATGGTTATGTACCAAGGGAAAGACCCAGTCACACACTCACTGCACATCAACCATTTTGAATTGGCCAATCTATGAACAAAGTGTTAATGACTAAAATGTTAACTAACCAGTAAATATAAACCTTGAAGACAAATGTCATTATGACACTTCTTCTAGTATTCAAACTTCCCTTAAAATTGTAGTTTTCTTGTTGTATTGTAGTTTACAGCTTGGCTGTGTGATATGTGCGCCTTTAAGCCGAACACATCTGATTTCAGCAAACCCTGTATTAGATACCTTTTATGACATGCATGTTGGGGGAAGTTGGTCTCTTCTTCTCCCTTCCCTTTAATCCCAGAAAACACACATAGAGTTTAGAACAAAGGCATACGTATCTCAAATGTCCGCTGAAGAAGAAAAAAAGACGTTATTCTAAGACTAATCTGACTTGTGTTTATATTTTATTCAGCATGTTTGTCCAGTTTTATTTAAACATGTCATACCTCTGGTGTGTGAGTAAAATGTAGTATATATATTTTTTTTTCATTTGAGGATCCTTATATTTCTGTGCTGTCTTTTGCAATGATTTAGAAATTATTTCTATCCATTAGTTTTCAGTTATTTTATAAAATGAAGGTTTGGGTACTTATTGTGTTTTTGTTTGTGAACTACAGGGTTTCTTTTTTTTTTTCTAATTGATTTTTATTTAGGAAATTGAAATAGCTGATTATTGGTTGAATTTCTTTTCAGAATGATTTAATGTAGACCATTAGCTTTAACTTTATTGTTTTCCTAGTTCTTCATGATTATGTTACAAATGTATTATCGGACCATATGACTTGAAGGATGCTTTCCCATTTTTTGCAGGCCAACCAAATGTGAATAAATAAAAGATTCTAAACGTTGTTCACAATCTGGACAATTTAATTCTTTATTTCATGTTCAAAACATACAGGCTGAAACAAATTCTTGATATATTGAAAAATCAGGCTTATCTTGCTGAAAATCATTCAGTCAGGTGCCATCTCCACAGTAAAGGTTGACTGCTGTAGAGTGTCTAGCCCCGCCTCGTGCCCTGGTAGTAAACTTTATTTTGGTAGACTGCTGTTTGTCCATCTCTTGATGTTTTCTTCATCCTTTTCCTTGTTTTATATAATCCATGCCATGTAGCTTTGGTAGTCATGTATATCCACAGCCTTCTGTCTTGTGTA